TTTAGGTAATTTTACCTATACTCGTATGACTCGTCGAGCATTCGAGTGTACAAATACAGGCTCGGGCTGGATTTGAATTTGAAGTGCTCGAGCTCGAGAGCTGCTCAATTTGTTTGTAGTCCTCCTGATAGTTTGGAACCTTTTTACCATTTCTCATTGATTTTGGCAATTTCGTTGAACTAACATATATTGAATATATTTTCGATTTGGTTCAGGTCGTGCGTGCCCTTGAGGGAGATGTTTCTCTAGAGGACCTCAACGGGGGGTTGAAAACCGCGCACATCGCCATGTTTGGGTCGAGCGGCGACTCTGAGATCGACTTGAAGAAGCTCGGCGTTAGGGGCCTCAACAGCCAAGAGTTCAACAGCAGTGAGGACGGGCACACGGGAGAATTCCTCCGCACGAGCGGTGGAAATTCCCGCGAGTTTGGGTCGAGCCTGCAGGCCGGACGAGCGCGCAGCCCACAAATGTGAAAAAACGAGCACAACGAAAAAGCAATCAAAAACAAAAATACCCAAAACAAAAAACAAAAAATGAAACTGAACTGTGTTGTTACAACCTTTGCGAAAAAAACCATATGGATTCTTTTCATCTTCGATTTGTAATTAGTGTTTCGTCTATTGTGCTGCAATTTAGCACGTGTTTTACGTGTGAACAAAAATGATGCTATTAAATTTCATGCACGTGCCATTTGCGTAGGGGAGAAAACACTAAGAAATAATATGCTATAAATTTAATAATTTATTATTTATTTTAGTATTTTCATTTGTTACGTTTGATGGTTATGTATGAATAAAGTGCACACAAATGTGATTTAGATTTCTATGTTAACATAACAACTTAATTAATACTCTCACAGTTTTTTATTATTTGATTAAGTGACTTTGGTCAAGTGAATGTAGTAATAATCTCGAATTGTAGATTTAAACTGTAAATTTTCAATAACATATTTTTTGTGTAAGAGCACCCACAATGCTTTGTGTCTGTTACAAAAATATCATATGTCATGTTGGACGTAGGGGAGATGAGATGGAACAACGTCCAAGCTGTGACAACCCACTCTACGAAGAGAATGGAAATTGCATTTTATTTACTTTATATAGCTGTGATGTGAAAGAGACTTACTAGGGTGTATTTAATTGAGATTTATAAAGACTTTTAAAAACTTTTTAGGACTTTAGAAATCCTGGTGTATTTAATTTAAATTTCTCAAGACTTTTAAAAGTATTGAGGTATTCAATTAGGATTTTAAAAAGTCTTACGAAATCCAGGTGTATTTAACTAATTTAAGGTTAGGATTTATAAGGACTTTTTAAGATTTACTGGGATTTCTAAAGAAAAAAACATGTAGGAAATCCCACTACAAATTCCACCTTTAGACTTGGTATTTTATAGGATTCTTTTAAAATCTGAAAATTCTCAAAAATCTTAAATCTTAAAAAGTCTTTAAATGTCACTCGAATTCCGAAACGAATACAGTCTATTAAAAAGTGTTTTCCAATGCAATTAAAAGTATACTAGGTCTAACTTATGTGACAATCAAAAAATGAGACCAAGTCTACACTTTGTCTATTTTGGACCCAAGTACAAACCTAAACAATTAGCATTTATTCCTAATTTAATTTTTCTCTTAATATATAAAATATTTTAGGGCATTTTTATCCGTTGATAAATGTTCTAGATCTAATATTTTGTTTTTGCACTGGATGACTTTTAAATTTTTTTTTACTTGGGTTTGTCCATGTCATTAAGGACTTAAGTCCATTTATATGTCACGTATGTGAAATTGAACACAATGCATTGTGGATGCTCTAAGGGGATATAATAATTAATTGTTATATAGATCAACTCGTCACACATTTGTAATAAAAAAACACTAGTACAATACCCGTGTACTACACGGGTGTTGAGTTAAAAAATATATGACAAAAGTTATTATTAAATAAATTTTTTATTTTAAAATTTTGATAGAGTAATTGATGAAAAAAAAAAGGAACAAACAATGTAGAAAATGATTTGTAAATCGTAATTTATGAGAGAAATATGAGAAAAAATATATAATATGGTAAGATTGCTAGTTGCCCAAACTAAGAAGGAAATGTGTTTTAAGAGAAAAAAAATAACAAAATTAAATAAACACTTATCAAGTTTGAAGTTCTTTATGTATAATACCAAGCGTAACTCTAGAGCAAAAATGAATATATAAACAACATTACGAAGCATAGATATTCATCATGTCAGCATCCGAAATGTGAGAATATGCCAATTAGGCTCAACATATTTTGAATTAATATATAGGGAGGAATATTTATATTATTTTTGTTTATTTTGTTTGGTAGAATATGGCTTTACAATTTGAAAGTTTTCATAAACAATTGAAAATATAAGATTGACCAACTATTAGAGTTATCTAATAGTATTTTTATTGTTTTAACAAACATACTTTTAATATAATATAACAAAAATAACGATATTTGATATTATATATGTAATAATATGTGTGACAAATCATAAAACCATATACTTAAATCGTTCTATCATTTATGGAACCCCAAAAGTCGACATTCTAATCCACCACCCTAATAATCCCTACTTATATGCACATTTGGAACTAATATCACAAGATTACTTGCCACAAACTACTAAATTAATTTTCTCACTTGTTAATCAATGCAATTAACAAAATTGCATGTCTATTATGCAACTATCTTCATCAATTCTACTAAAATTGAAAAAAAAAAAAAGAATCAAATTATTTCCTTTTCGTCTAGAAAACTTATTTTAAAGTAGAGTTATTATTATTATTTTTTTTTTAACAAATCAAAATCATCCAATTGTATTCTTAAAGCACTTTCATGTCTTAATTTCAATGTATATTCCATAGTAATTTATTCAATCACCAACTATTAGGCTTTGAAAGTAATTTGAATGATATAATAAGTCCAATTTATTTTTTTAACATATATATATATTTTTTATGTTTTGGATACTTCAATTGTACGTTAGGCTGTACCTTGGGTACCCACATTTACAAAAAAATAAAATAAAAAAAAAAAAATTTGCACACACTTTACACTAACAGAAACAAAAAAAAATTGCTTTCAGAGATCTGCAAGTTCTTTTACTGTGAATCAAACACAGGATTTCTAATCTATATATCGGGGCTTTCATATCTCTGCAAAAATGGCGCAGCCGTTCGTGAAGAAAGACGATGATCGCGACGAGGAAGGTGAGTTTATGGGATTTGATTGAAGAGTGAGTATTAGAAAGAGAGGGTTTATGGCCGAACGTTTTGATTTGATGAAATTATAGTTCATGATGCCATTGATGGTCTGCTTAATTTGAGTTTAAGTTTTCTCAGGGCTTCAATTGCATGTGTGTTGATTTGATAGTGTTTGGAGCTTGCTGTTGTATTCATATATGTCTGGTTTCAATTCAAAGCTGGCTGATTCATGTTTCGCGGTCACTATTGGTGTTTGGCCAGTTCAGTTTAGTGTTAGATCTGCCATTGTTTTTCTTGGTGTTTATAAAATTGTGTGTGCCTTTGTTCTGGTTAGAGCCAATGATCTTAGCTTGGATATGGACTTGTTTAGATGCATCAGATTGGTGTAAAATTAGCAGATAGTGCCTTATCTAGAGATTTGACCCTTCAAATCCGCTAACTCGTTTTGTTGGTAAGTAGCTTAATTGATTAGCATTTTGAATCCAAAATGCTAATTATGAAAAAGCTCAATACAGGAGCGTTTTGATAAGAGAGATTCGTAGAATGACATATTAACACAAGATCTCCAAAATTGCTATTTACCGAATAGTTATTTACAAACAACTAGTACAATACACTAGTCAAATCAGCTATTACATTCCGCTATCACTATTTGTTGTCCGCTACAAACTAATAGCCAAACATGGCCTATGTTTTTTTTTTTTTTTTTCACAATTTTGATGGAATTTGGGAGTTGAACTGGAAACAGATTTCAGAATATACAACTTGATCAGGGTTTGTGTCATGATGTACAAGTCTTCTTAAAGTTGGGATGACACTTTGTTCGAAAGAAGTGTTCAATTACTGTATTATAAAGCGGGTCTAATAGGTCAAGCCTCATTGTTGTCTTTCGGTGGCTCCAGAAGTGTCTGTGGATTGTGTTTTGGATTTTGGCTTGCTTGGATAAAACCTAGCAAATTTTTTAGTCCCTACATTTTTCATCCCATATTAGAAAATTGGAATTCCAACACTTGAATCATCGGTACATTGTACTTGGAAACTCAGAAATGCTTATTCAATCCTTACTCCAGTTTACAGAAATTGCGCTGTTTATTCTTAATTTCTAAAGTTGATCTATTAAACCTACAGCGGATTACTCTCCATTTTTGGGGATTGAGAAGGGAGCGGTACTACAGGAAGCTCGGGTTTTTAATGACCCCCAGTTGGATGCAAGGAGATGCTCTCAGGTACTCCTACTGCCACTATGTCAAATCAAATGATAGTAATTTCGTAAGCACCTTTTTCGGTTGTCTTAATTAATTAAAATTTAAATGACAGTTCGGATTTCTCCATCACAGGTCATCACGAAGCTTCTGTATCTTCTGAATCAGGGAGAAACATTTACCAAGGTCAGACTTTGATGGTATAGCTAGTATATGGCCATCATGTATGTGTGCACGCGCATGTGTGTGTGTTGTGTTCTCAGTCACTCAAATGGATGCACACATGTCACATGCTAACAGACCTGTGAGGTGTGCACAAGTTTAACTAATCTTAGAGTGAGGTGTGTTAATGCATGTTTAGCTTACAGACAAGCATATACCCAAACAAAACGACCACCTGCTGGGCCTGATAATCGAACAGTGGAGATTTAATGTCATATTTTGCATGCTGTCCAGCCTTCGGGATTAAGTAGCAGCCTGGTAACTTTGTAGGCTTCATCCATGTGTTGCATGTCATGGATAGCTGTCTGGCAGTTTCTAATTCCTACTGACAGAGAGTGCATTGGGTTCTTGTTGTTGATTGGATGTATATTATTGCTCACAAGTTTTCTATACTTAATTTATGACACCAGAGAAGTAATTGGCTACAATAGGTAAGTTAAAGGAGACTGAACTGTGAATTAAAGAACACACAATGAAACACATTAATATGATGTGTGAGATTGTGCTAGCCAGATTATTTCTTAAGGCATTTCCTAGCAAGCATCCAACACATCCAGATTTTCTATTTGATAGTTGTTTGGCAAAAGCTTCTACATTTGGAATAATTTTTTCCAGTCTAATTTCTAGATTGAAGCTACAGAAGTGTTTTTTGCGGTTACGAAGCTGTTTCAATCCAAGGACATTGGTTTGAGAAGGATGGTCTATCTAATGATAAAGGAGCTTTCTCCTTCTTCAGACGAGGTGAATTGCGCATACACCATCTCATCTTGTATTATGACTTCATTGTCAATGGCTATTTGATTTCCAAGGAGGTTTGGAATGAGCTCTTTTGTGTTTGGCTTGAAAGGTTATCATTGTTACAAGCTCCCTAATGAAGGACATGAATAGCCGAACTGATATGTACCGAGCAAACGCTATTCGTGTGCTTTGTCGGATTACGGATGGAACACTTCTAACTCAAATTGAGAGATACCTAAAGCAGGCCATTGTGGACAAAAATCCTGTGGTTTCCAGTGCTGCACTTGTGAGTGGGATCCATCTTCTACAGGTACTATTTTGATTTTTGAAGAATTACACGATTTGTAGTTAGTTGAATTGCTAATATTTGTTTAATTATTTTGACAGACAAATCCAGAGATAGTCAAAAGATGGAGTAATGAAGTACAAGAAGCTGTCCAATCTCGGGCTGCACTTGTTCAGTTCCATGCACTTGCTCTGCTCCACCAGGTAAGAGGTTTTGTACTTCTGTTATAGAACAAAAACACAAAACTGAGTTTGCAAAGTGCTGTTTAGCTCTGTGCTGAACTAATGTAGAGGATGTTGTTTTCACGACCAAGCGTCATGTCACAAAATCGTGATACCGAACCATTTGTACATAGCTTAGTGAATTAGTAGTACTTCATGATACATTTGATTATTTTATAATATTTAAGGGTATCTTTCCTGTTTGTTCTCAATTGTTTGTGAGAGGCAGAAAATAATATGCAGTGTATAGGTTGCAAATTTGATATATATTTGGCTTCCGCTTCATTTTTTTTATTTTTTATTTTTTTTACCTGTCTGGATTATTCATGTAAGGCTGTAACCTGTTGAGTTGGATTTTCATGTACTATGTTTGAGCTTACAGATAAGACAGAACGATCGGTTGGCTGTCAGCAAGTTGGTTACCAGCTTGACCAAGGGGACTGTCCGTTCTCCTTTGGCTCAATGTCTTCTGGTTCGCTATACTAGTCAGGTATGGTGTGATCGGTTTTGGGGAATGTGGATGGTGGTTGGGTTCTTTCAAGATACTGATGAAGCAGTTATTCTTGAGATATGTAGGTTATAAGAGAATCGGGTGTCAATACCCAAACAGGAGACAGGCCATTCTATGACTATCTCGAAGGTTGTCTCCGTCACAAAACTGAAATGGTCATCATCGAAGCAGCTCGTGCAATCACAGAGTTGAACAACGTCACCACCAGGGAACTCACTCCTGCCATAACTGTGTTACAGCTTTTCTTAAGTTCTTCTAAGCCCGTATTAAGGTTTGCGGCTATCCGGACATTGAATAAGGTTGGTGTTTTCATAGTGATTCGATGTTGTGCTATTCTGAATTATTTAGTTTTTAGATTGGATGTTGGATGAGTGGTGTGATTGTTCTTTTTCCTTTGACTCTTTCTTGTTTAGAAATTAATCTTACGCTGACCTAGATTTATTTGTCCTCTGAAGCTTTGTTGCTGTTTCCTTGATGTAATTTGTACATGATAACATGACTACTTATAAGGGCCACGTAAAGAATAATACTATTATATTATTGTTTAGTTCTTTCCCTGTTGGGTTCTCGGCCTAGCAAATAGCTTCTGTTGACTTGGAGCGTATATTGTTTCCACCGTTTCCTGGTGATTCTGACTTTTCTGAAGAACCTGCACTGGTGATGACCTGAATTTTTTAATATCATTTTTGTTGACTTTGATATCAAAATATGCGTCAACCTGTCAAAGTTCAACTCAAACAATTTACATATCAAACTATGTTAACTGGTGATGTTTTATGCAATTACCTAGTGGCTTATGCTTTATTCACTATGCAATTTGTGTAATACACACATTGTTGTGTAGCAAATGTTCATATTTGACTTACAAACCCAATGATTTTACTCGTTCTGGGATGATGGTTTTTTAATTTTTCTCTTAGATAGTGCCATGCATTTTACCGCAAGTACTCTAGAAAATTAGGATTATGGTACTTCATGTTCAACTAGCATCATTCATTCGATATAAATGTTTGACCAATTAACACAATGACCTGTACGATTTTCACTTTTATACTTCTGTTTTCTAACTTCCATGCTTGCGGCTGTCCATCCCTTTGATCAATTGGCTTCCACTAATTTCCTGTATTAACTTCAAATTTATACAGGTGGCGATGACACATCCCATGGCTGTAACCAATTGTAATATTGACATGGAAAGCTTGATCTCAGACCAGAATAGAAGTATTGCAACTCTTGCCATTACCACTCTACTGAAAACAGGCAATGAATCTAGCGTCGATCGACTGATGAAACAGATCACCAATTTTATGTCCGATATTGCTGATGAATTCAAGATTGTTGTCGTGGATGCTATAAGATCGCTGTGTTTGAAATTCCCTCTCAAATACAGATCCTTGTAAGTGCATCAAAAGTTTTCCCTTGCAACATATGATTAATAACTTACCATGTTATGTCTTTTAGAAGCAGCAGTTTCATATTAATTTGATGTAAATATCTAACCACTATTTTAACCTTCTTGCTTTTCCTCAGGATGAATTTCTTGAGCAGTATCTTGAGGGAAGAGGGTGGTTTTGATTACAAAAAGGCAATTGTCGATACAATTGTTATCTTAATTAGGGATATTCCAGATGCCAAAGAAAGTGGGCTGCTGCACTTATGTGAATTTATTGAGGACTGTGAATTCACATATCTTTCCACCCAGGTTTACTTTTGTTTTCGTTGGACCATTACTTTAAATCTGGTTGCTATTCTTTGGTGCATGCTTGTTTTTCACTCACCATCTGAGTTTCATTGTATATTGTGTTAGATACTTCACTTTCTCGGTAATGAGGGACCCAAGACCTCTGATCCCAGTAAATATATCCGATATATCTATAATAGAGTAATACTTGAGAATGCTACTGTACGTGCCAGTGCTGTCAGCACATTGGCGAAGTTTGGGGCCACAATCGACTCCCTGAAAGTAAGACAGCATCAGCATCTCTTTTATGCTAATCGTTAAAATTTTTTATTAAAATCTTTATTTACTGACAATAGGTTATCATAATCTCTTCTGCAGCCCCGCATATTTGTTCTGTTGAGGCGTTGCCTATTTGATACTGATGATGAGGTCAGTTTGTGTCCATTGTTATAATTTAAACGGTTGTATTATGTTATTTCGCCTTTCTTTTCCTTAAAAAATTGTCTCATTCTTTCTCACAAATACTCAGAAGTCACACATATGGCACGTTACAGGTCCGAGACCGAGCTACATTGTACTTGAATACACTTGGAGATGGTTCGGTTGCTGAAACTGACAAAGATGTGATTAAGTTTTTGTTTGGCTCGCTAGATATACCTTTAACAAATATTGAAACCAGCTTGAAAAAATATGTAAGTATCTTGTATTGGAATTTTGTTATGTATGTCATTGAGTGATTTATATTTAGCTTATGACTTTTCCTCATTGTCCTTTGGGAACAGATCCAGGATCCTACGGAAGAGCCTTTCGATATTAATACCGTACCAAAAGAGGTCAAATCTCAGTCTCTTGCAGAAAAGAAAGCCCCTGGTAAAAAGCCAACCGGTTTAGGGGCACCATCTTCTGGTCCCATTTCCCAAAGTGATGGTTATGAAAAACTTCTATCCTCAATCCCTGAATTTGCAAGTTTCGGAAAGCTTTTCAAGGTTTGTGGATCTTTAAACATTTACGTTTTGATTTTGTTATGCTTTCATTCTGGTATTTTAATCTGGCTAGGTGCTCACCAAATTTTGTTGCTCTTGACAGTCATCCATACCAGTTGAGCTTACAGAAGCTGAAACTGAATATGCAGTTAATGTTGTCAAGCACATATTCGACCGCCACGTGGTGTTCCAGTACAACTGCACTAATACAATACCAGAACAGCTACTTGAAAATGTAAAGTTCAATATTGATTTTTTTTTAAAAAAAAAAATGAGTTTTTTTTTTTAATCTATTTATTTTCTAATTGTCATTTTGCTTCTAGGTGACTGTCATTGTGGATGCCTCTGAAGCCGAGGAGTTTTCAGAATTGGGAGCAAAACCTTTAAGGTCCCTCCCATATGACACACCATCACAAACATTTGTGGCATTTGAGAAGCCTGAAGGTGTCCCAGCAGTTGGGAAATTCTCAAACGTGTTGAGGTTTACGGTTAAAGAGGTATTTGTTTGGTTAGCTTGATAGTTTGAAATCTTTGATGATTGCTCACTCAACCTTGATTATTAATCCAGCGCATGCTATTAAGTGCGCAATCCCGATTTTGATTCTACTTTCATTTACTCCTTTACTTTAAGTGCTTCTGTTTGAATCGACTGTTTGTTTAGGTTGACCCCTCTACTGGTGAGGCTGAAGATGATGGTGTGGAAGACGAATATCAGCTCGAGGATTTTGAAATTGTTTCTGCCGATTATATTCTGAAAATTGGGGTTTCTAACTTCAAGAATGCCTGGGAAAGTCTGGGCTCGGATGGTGAGCGTGTTGATGAATACGGGCTGGGACCTCGTGAAAGCCTTGCTGAAGCAGTGAATGCAGTCATCAATCTTCTCGGCATGCAGCCTTGTGAGGTTAGTGCCGATTACTTTTAGAAGATAGAAAGCCTTCCTTCATTATTCAACTCGAGGAATATGGATAAACTTTTTTTTTTTTTTTTTCACTCCAAAAAAATTAATCTCACTCAAAATCTAACTCAACACCACTAAAGTATCTTCAATATTATCAATATTAATCTCACTCAAAATCTAACTCAACACCACTAAAGTATCTTCAATATTATCAATATAATTAAATAATATCACCCGATCATTCTTACACATCACATCTACTTTAATTTACTATTCATACCATCTATAATTTTAACTAACCACCACTTCATACCATCTATATCTCCTACTTTTACATCAAATTAAATTAAATTATTTTATTTTAGATATTATTTTAATGTAAACCTAAAAATCCCACTAACAACTAGTTATACCACATTTTTCCAAGTTAACCTTGGTTAAAAAAAAAAATCCATTTTAGGTGGAAATTTTTGTATCCAATCACGCCCTTAGGAATTTCACAAGAGAATCGAGTTTGTGATCACGAATGAAATTTTCATGCTTTTTTGCTGGCCGATTTTGATGTTTTTCCAGGGTACTGAGGTGGTCCCAAGCAACTCGAGATCACATATGTGTTTGCTCTCGGGCGTGTACATAGGAAACGTGAAGGTTCTTGTGCGGTTATCGTTCGGTATCGATGGGTCGAAAGAGGTGGCTATGAAGTTAGCAGTGAGATCTGAAGATGAGAAAGTTAGTGATGCCATTCATGAAATAGTTGCCAGTGGATAGTTTCTTTTATCACTTTTTTTTTTTTTTTGTGATTTTTCTTTGTCCAGAAAAGATAGTTTATATATATATGAAATGTGAGAGTTGTAAAATAGGAACTCCCTTTTTCCCCATTTTTCTTCCTTAGAGCATCCACAATGTTTTGGGTTCAATCCCAAAAAATTATATGACACCTAATAAGTAGACACAGTCTAAAAAAAATTATTCTCCAATGCAAATAAAAGTAGACTGGGTCCTGCTTATGTGGCAGCCAGAAAAGGAGACCCGGTCTACTCTTAAGTCTATTTTAGACCCAAGCAGAGACCTGGTCTCTTTGCATTGGAATGAGTTTTGTTAAATTTACATAGTTTTATCCATGTTATTCAAGACTTGGGTTTATTTACGTGCCACATATGCAAGACTAGACCTAATGCATTGTAGATGCTCTTATGTTAATTTGACAACTGGAATGAATATATATATATATATATATAGATATATAGATAATAGTAATATATATAATATTTACTAGTATAATATTTGTTAAAGTGTATTTATTAGACAATATGATAAGCTCATGTGGTTTAAGTAGCATATAATTTATGTCATTTGGATTTATATCTTACATATATTTAGAGAAGGAAAATTGTGTTTAATTTGCTTATATGTGTGTGTAAATATACAAAACTCGAAACAAAATTAATTGCGACCAAGCCTACTACACTGTAGTCTGTACAAATGCAGGTTTGTTTTATCATTTTTATGGCACAAAGAGAAGATAAATAAATAAATAAATAAATAAAACTGTCACTTTTTTTTTTTTTCACTAAAACTTGATGTACAAGGCACACGCCACACGACAAATTATCATTAAAGGGCTAAAAAATTTGTCTAAAAATGTACGTTCTCTCACTTACACAAAATCTCATTGTACATATTATTTCCATTTATATTAATTCTATAATATTCGTGTGTCGCCTTCTATCGTCTAACGTTCCCTTTCCGATTTGATTTCCCATTAAAAACTTTCGACCAATTTTGTACATTCTCGTGTAGACAATTTTACGGTTAGACAGGTCAACCCTTCATATCATTTTTAAAAAAACGCATACTACGCTATGAAACGTCTTGTATATATGTCTTTTTTTTAAGTGTAACATTTTAATTTTAAAAAATATATTTATTAACAAAATATAATTGTCTCGATGTTAATACTTACTTATTTAAATTCTTAAATATTGTCATCTTGCGGTATAGACGGGCCAACTCGAGCTTGAGCCTTCTTGTTAACAAAACAAGCCGATTGACAATCTCAAACTCGACTCGTTTATCAATAATAACGAATCGAGCTCGAGTTACAAAAAACTTAACTGAAAAACATTTTTTTTTTTACTAGCCTCTACGAAACGTGGCTTAAACGAACGACTCATTTATCAAATAAATCGAGCCGAGCTTGAGGCATAACGAGTCGAGCTTTCCATCTCTATTTTTTTCAATTTTCACACCCTACGCCATCTATCATTTAACTCATTTTGACCAAGTTGTGACTTCTTTTATACTAATACAAACTTGAAAATCACATACTACTAATTTCATTTCAAAAATTTTAGAAACAAAATTATTAATTAAACATTTAAAATATCCACAAATAGTACACTGCTCCACACAAAAAAACAGACACACACACAGACGCAGAAATTAACCCACACGCAAGTCAAGCGAGTTAACAACACCACCCAATCGACGCCCGCCACGTGTAAACAAAAAGACAAAAATTATCTCTGCGCCACTTTCTCTCAAATTTTCCCTTATTATGAAACATGCAGCTGCCAAAAAAAACACAAAAAAGTTAACAAACCCGCAGCAGCACAAGCAAACCGCCTGTTCAGCTTCCACCTTCTTCTCTGTGTGTGTGTGTGTGTGTGTGTGTGTGTGAGTGTGTGAAAGCAGCTGAAAAAATTCTACCATTTCGTGTTTCCTCCGAATTTGGATTAGGTATTGTGTTTTCTGGTTGTAAAAAGTTGATTTGTATTCAACTTTTCTGTGTGTTTTTTTTTTTGAGAGATTTGATGCGGATTCGTGAGAGATTTGTGATTGATTAGGACTTTGAATGTGTGGTCTCTGGTTATGGCTAACGATTGTGCCTCTTGTCTCTGTGTGTGTGTGTGTGTCTCTGTGTGTGTGTGTGTGTGTCTCTGTGTGTGTGTGTGTGTGTGTGTGTGTGTG